AAATACTAAAAAATCATGGTTCTGCAGCAGTTTATCAAACTATTTGTGGGTCATGTGTATCGTGTCAATTTCGCTACTAACACTCAAGTATGAAGCTTCAGTTTCGCAAACTGATCGGATACAGGCAGGTTGGAAGCAATCCTCAAATGGACGCACACGGCGTTCCAACTACGGCAAGCGCAGCTGAAACGGGATGGTGAGAACAGACCTAAACGTGGACAGAGTACTCCTGTTTAATCTCGAGTGCTGCTCTCCCACCTCTGCCCCACTTTTGGATACTTTTGGAAGGTCCGGGGGGCACTTGATTTATCAAGATATCCATGGCATTACACGACCACATCGCTCGTGCAGTTTTCAAGACAAGCAATCAAGGGATATACGATCCAGCTCTGCAAATGAAGATATATACCATCGAGCTGCTCCCCGGGCAACACTTGAAAGCGTAATTATGGCTCGGTCCTGGCATCCGCTGGCGGATTCTTTTAAAAAAAAACGTCCTATCGCAGCCCTGCTTCGCTTTTCTGGTTGGTGGTTGAGCCAGAAAAATATGCTACTGGGGACCATCACCCAATTTCTATGGATAAATCTGGTTGAAAATAGAATAGAATAATTATATATCTGAATCTGACACCAGCCACTTTTCGAGAGATGTGAAATTCCTGATCCACCAGCAGAAGCGGCGTGGTCGCAACATGTCGCAACTGACTCTTTAAGTCTCCCAGAGGCAAAGAGAAGTTGAATTTCAGCCAGTGATGCTCAAAACACAGCCTAAAACACCTCAGTGCTCAACTCAAAGAGGCCAGAAATCTGGAGCTCATCCCACGATGTTCCGGCGGTGTCACCAGGTATTTTGCGGGGTGTCTCCGGTTTAACTGAGTTTTGATCATGGCCCCGCATCCAAAACATGTTATTCCTCCACTTGCCTGAGATTATCGTATGGATTCTCCGGGAATCAGATTCTGTGGAAATCCAAGTGGAGATACGAATCTGCGATTGAACATTGTGTGCTGGCATCACCCGTATCATCATGTTTCAAGCTGAAATCTCTGCACAGTGGCAATAAGCAAAGAACACTTGTGAGTGTATATATATAGAGAAAAGGCTGTAAGCATGACAACGTTCAGGGGCAATATCTGGAATATGATCCCGGCTCAACAATCATCATGGCTTGTGACGACAAGTCAAATATATTGAAAGTCAGAAACACCACCACGGACTGACCTCAAGGAATTCAGATACTTCTTACGATCGCAAAATTGCAGTAAGCCCAATACAGTGTACACGTTCTAATAAAATCTACTTAAATGACCTGCAATGGAGCGCCATTCAATGGGCTTTCCCAAAATTGGAGTGCCGCAAAGCTCCATTTATAATCAGGGTTCACTCCATAGCCCCCAGCACCACAAGCCAACCCGTTAGATGACTCCAAAAGACATCTAACTGCTTGCCCTTGAACACTGGCGCTTGTGCGTTGGGCTTTGGGTACCTGGCTGCGGCTCCTTAACCTTTCACATGTCCAACTGGGTCTGAAAATTGGGGTACACTGTGGTGTACAACAAAAATTTTGGCTTTAATGAGGAAAATGAATCAACATGGTGATTAAGCAAGTGCTCAACAGATTTTAGGGTACCTTTCAGCATTCAATCGAACCCCTCCTTATAAACTCCCCAACGTTGACGATTCCCCAACCCCAGCGGCACAAGAAGTCAGTTCCAGTCGGAATCATGGTTTGCACTGGCTCCTGAAGGTCGTCCCAGCGGATGGCACATTGGCACTGGCTCAAAATCCATCGAAAGTTCGGCCGCACCTGGAGTTGTGCTTGAATCTGCAAGACCATCCTCAGTGGGGGGGAAAAACCAGAAGGGGACACCCTGGGAGTGCGGTTTTTCACTGCATTCTGCAACCATTGACAATTTCTGCTTGGTTTTTCTGCAATGGCTAAACAAAACCAAAATCAAACAAAACAAGAAACCAAAAAAAGAAACAAAAAAATGACAAGACCTAACTCTCTGCCACTACTCCCCCCCTTGGGGTGTGCAATCTTGTTTTTTTTTGTGTTTTTTTTTGTTTTTTTGGTTTCTTGGTTTTGTGGTTTCTTGTTTTCTGGTTCGTTGTTGGTTTTTCTGCAATGGCTAAACAAAACCAAAATCCAAAAAACGAAAAAAACACAAAAAAAACACAATGACCAGACCCAACTCTCTGCCACTACTCCCCCCTTCGGGTGTGCAATCTTGTGTTTTTGTGTTTTTTTGTTTTTTGGGTTTCTTGTTTTTTTTGTTTTTTGTGTTCTGGTTCGTTGTTGGTTTTTTGAAGGGCTCAGGACCTAGACCTCTTTGCCAGTTCTCCCACTTTAGGGGTTGCAAACTTGCTTTTGGTTGATTTTATTATTTGCTTTGGGCCTGTGGTTCCATTAGAAAACAATGTAAAAAACTATGGCAAAATGCAGGTATCACTGGAGGAAGCTTGGGGGGCGTGGGACACAAATTAGGCAATTTTGTCTGTTTATGTAATCTTTGAAAAACGGTGTTGAACAAATGCAAAAACATAGGCAGCCAATGAATGTGTAGAACTGATTTTGATATTGACATTCTTGGCTCAAACCCTTGGATTAGCACATGTTCAAACACTTTGAAAGATTCCCTTGAAAAGGAGTGATGCATCTCTTTGAAGTGAGTGCTTCCTTCAACAAGTGCATGTCTTTTATAAAATGGTAGAGCCCGGTAGAGCATCCCATTGAAGTAGGTCATGTCTTAGTCTACTTCTATGTCAAAAATGAACCCTCTTGCACATGCAATGCCCTTTTCACATCTTTTCACAATATATTTTCTTAAATGAAGAACACATGGTACATGTAAGCACGTAAGATATGTCTTTCACAATTGCACATCATTTTTCTGAATGCATAATGTGATATTCTTCCAAGACAGCGAACCATATTTTGGGAATAACACCCTTTGGTGTAGGCAGCTCCCCTCTTGAAAAATATTGTAACTTGAAGAATGTCCATCGTTAAATCTTAAGACAATCAAACATTGTTTGAACATATGGTAGTGCTCACAGTTTCAAACATATTGCACTTTTGAAAGGGATGCCCTATGTCGATAATACTGCATATATCATGCAGAAATATTGACTTTTCTAAAAGGGGTACTGCTCCTTTGAAAGGAGGGTTGGACATCTGGAAATGCACACTGCACTCCTTCAAAGGGCATGGTGCAACTTTTCAAGGAATACGTCATATTTTGTTTGGATATTGTCCCTGCAAAACACACTGCATTGCCCCAAAGGAAGATTACTCTGATTCAGAAGGATATGTTTGTTTTGAATACTGCATTTGTTGGCAGGTATGGGGATGTTGTAATTATGTTGAAGTCATCTAGCATATTCTGCAGAAATTGTGTTTTGTTGAAGGGACAATGTAGTAGCATTTATCTAAGGTAGAGTGAACACCTGGACACTTCTTCAAGCAATACATGCTCTCTAGTGGACATGAACACAGCTTCATCTGTAGCTTAAGCTTTAATGTGATTACAGTTTTGAAAAAAACAATAAAAAAAAGTGCACTCCCACAGCGTCCTGCTCACAAAAAAAGACGTCAAGCTTCTGGATAAAAGATATATTTATGTGTATATATATATATTGTGATATGATATGATATGATATGATATGATATGATATGATATGATAATGATATGATATGATATGATATGATATGATATGTTTTGTGTGTGCGTATCATATAATCTTATAGTATGTATAACTGATGAAGTATGTTTTTTTGGACATAGTTTAAATGATCATAAACTATACATATCATATATATATATTCTAGCTGCTGGAAAGATCAGAAACATCCTGCATTATTCTTCGGTTAGTTAGGCTTGGATTGACTATCAGCTGGCCAATCCACCATTTATAGATACCCTCTGGTAATTTGTTGCATGGCTATTGAAAATGGCCGTAGAAATAGTTGATTTACTCATTAAAAATGGTGATTGTGCATAGTTATGTGACAGTTTACCAGAGGGTAATGTCCCATTTAAACGCCCATTTATGCCAGAAGTCCCGTTGAAATGCCCATGTATATGATGTATATGGGTCTTCCAGCTGTGTGAGGGTAATCTGAAGACCCCCAAAATCAACAGCATCCGCAGCTTGTTGCTAAGTTACGAAGCAACTTGCCTCTGTTTTTTTGGAACCCTTCTTGATGAAAGACAAGAGGATGAAAAATTGCACACAACCAAACACGCTGGCTTACCAACTTGTGCAGAATATCTTCCATCTATGGTCATCCAGCACGTGCTGTCGAGTGACTGACATTCTGGCCCTAAGCCCTTTGGCATATTGAGGGTTAACATCTGCTGCCGTTCCCTGCCAGCGGGAAATGATGTAGAAAACCTTCATCAGTCTTCACCATTGCTGGACCCGTTTGCCCACCAGTAACGCTGGTTCAAAAGCTAGACAAGATATGGACACATGATACAATGATACGTGTAAAAGCTAGACCAAACTTCGTTTCAAGCTTTGGACGGTCTTTTCGCAAATCGTCCCAACAGATCAAGTGCCCCAAGAGCCGGAGCTCCCCCAACTATCCCCCATCACTCACCTCGCAGCAGCTTGGGTCTGTTCCGAACTGGGAAGTTTGGTCAAAAGCGTGTCAAATCGTTCCAGGGCATCGCCTCGATCAATCAGTGGACCCAATGGACATCCCTATTGGACACCCGGTGCCACCGCCTGGTTTATGGGGACACTTCAGCCCGGGGCGTCAATTATACCATGTTTGGACGAAACCAACGAGCCTAGACCGAAAAACCGAGCCTTGCAACATGTGGATTGCTTCGCTATGCCATCAAACACCAAGAATCTTCGCACTGTAAACGTTATGGGAAATGCTGTAATACTTGATCTTCGGATACATTCCCAATGTTCATATTTTGTTCCAAGAATAGTGGAGAGTCACGTCCAACCCTTTTGTTTTTGGAGCTGCCTCAGCAGAGGTGTCACTGGGCAGCCCAACTAATGATCTGCCCCAACATGTTGGTGATCTCCACTATTTGCCGCGAACTCTTCGTCACCAACTTGTGAAATCCTGAGAAAAATGGCGAGTTGGAAACTCTTCCAATCGTGGGAATTTCCATGGCATTTTAAGCATAGTGATAATAAGCCCCATGATATCCCCATTGTATTGTGGGATATTAATGAACACCTTGCATAGTGATAATGTGAGCCCCATTTCATCATATGACATTCATGTGCTCCAACGTATCCGTCATTAAAAAAAAACAAACACATTTTTTCACAATAGCCATCATTAAAAGGTGTACTGAATCTATCTGTATCTAATCTGTATCCATTCGACAAGGTCCGTTATGTTCTCCCCTTTTTGCCCTTTGATGAGAAGACCCACATATCCAGTGGTTGTCGGGCTGCAATCCTAGGATCATCCAACGCTCATCTCTGATAAAGGCTGTCGAAAGTGTATTGATTTTATACACAATTGTCTATACATATATGTGAGTAGTATATACGTGCATGTACATGAATTCATCTTTACTCTGGCTCCAAAATGCAGCTCGAAGCTCAACGCCCCCTCGCAACAGATTTTGCCAGGAAACAAGAGAACCATTTTTATAAGAACTCAAGCTTCAAACGCCTTCCCAACAACTCCACACTCACACTCCGTCGTATATACTTGAAACTTCATTTTGTGAAAAAAACATCATGGGAATAACCCACGTGAACTGGTGTGGGGAATTCTGACACACCTATGTCCGGGTTTCCAAGGCATGGTGTCTTCGACGGGTGGAACATGTGAGGCACCTGCCAAGGGCGGAGGGTGCACCATGTTTATCAAGGCTTGGTCATTTCATGTCATTTCAGGAATACAACCATTGATATATTGGGTACATATTGGGATATATTGCGTATAATATATACCCTCTGGTAAACTAACATAGCTATTGAAAATGGCCACAGAAATAGTTGATTTACCCAGCTATAAAGTGGTGATTTTCCATAGTTATGTAAACGTTTACCAGAGGGTAGCATCAATATGAAAAAAAAAATGTTCATACTGGATCTATTGGGCCCATTCATCCATGGGCCCATTCATCCAGTAGGAAGATGAAAAATTGTACTAGAAAATGGCTAACTAATGCTGGATATATAACCCATTGATCCAATGATTCATGACATTACCAACCATTGTAATATCGTATGTGACCCCAATATATCGTCAAATTTTGCTTGGATATATTAGGGATACAATGGGATATATCAACAACGACTAATGCTTAGTGAATCATTATCAACTGAATCCCATTATGGTTATTCTGAATTCTGGTTAGTATTACCACTATACAACCACAATGTCTCTAAAAAAGTAGCATTCATTAACTAAGTACCTGAAATATGTACGGCTATTTGTTTGATAGTTGCCCCAATTCATTCTAACCATCATTCCAGCGACAAAGCGACGTATACATGGCCGGATATCAATGTATTAAAATGACTACCAATGGTCCTGTTGAATACAATATAATGGCTGGATAATCCATTTTGATTTTTTGATAATTCAACTGAAATGGAGATTTGATATCTTATCTATTTTGCGACATTACAGTAATTTGAAACACTCGGTTTTTAGTTGAGCCCCAAAAAGCCACAAATTCGCCCTGGCTCGTGGTAGTTCCATGGAACCACCTTGGAACGGGTCTATTTATTTTGTGGCCTCATAAGGGGTTGTTCTCAGGGGATCTAAAACTGGGACACAGTCCCTAATTCAGGTGGGATATCTCAAAGATTCTCAAAGGATGTATGATCATATAGATGATAACAGATAATGACCTGACCCCTTCATGTGCTAGGATACTCCCCTGCAATATAAACCCAACCGTGTAGAGGTCGCTTTAAACTTTAGCATCATCTCATAGGGCAATCATCGAACTAAAGGATGCTTTTCCATAACATTCAAATGATGTACCCTCTGGTAAACTGTCACATAACTATGGAAAATCACAATTTTGTAGCTGGGTAAATCAACTATTTCTATGGCCAGGTTCAATAGCTATGTAACAAATTACCAGAGGGTATCATCGATTTGTCATTGATTTATCCACCATTTATAGATGATGTTCTATGATGTTCCACAGTAAAACCCTCCACTTCTTGGGGATTTCCAGCTTGCCACGTTACCAGTTGAGGTACGTGAATCTTGATGACCTATCTGACCTATCTCGGGCAAAGTTAAAGATGAATCTGGGATGGTTATCATTTCGGCCTACCAGTACCTTGCTGATAATTGCAAGAAATGGAAGTATGGGTGGAAGAAATCCCGCACCAGTTGATAGGTAGTTTATCCCACTATTTATAGGGTTTCAACATGTTTCAACCATCCAAGGTGGTGCAGGATTTCTTCCATCCACAGTATGAAATGATCATCTAAAGGAACACCAATCGCTGGGGGATCACCTGGGTATCTCATCCACTGCATGCTATGCTAGAAATCTGCGTCCTCCAAACGAGATTTTCCGACTGTATTTTTTTTGGGCACAGGGGAGTGTCAACCAAAAAGATTCAAGTCATCTCCCAAAAAATATTGACCAATCTTGGAGTCTGATCTTTTTTTTAAGCCGCCGGGTCCGGGGCCGCGACCTGTTTTTCATGGCGCTTCAGCAATTTTCTGAAGCCCGCCACATTGATCTCCAGGTACCTAAAAACACCAAGGAGATGGTGGGCTCCAAAGATTCTCAGTGCAGAAAAGTATCGAAAAATGCATATCTGGTTGGTGGTTGACCTACCATTGTGGTTAATATACCTGGTTAATAATGGTTAATATTAATGGTTATTAATGGTTAATGATGGGTTAATTATCAGAACTGGTTGGTGGTTGCTGCTAACCCCTCTGAAAAATATGACGAATCGTCAGTTGGGAGTATGAAATTCCCAACTGAATGGAAAAATAATCCGAATGTTCCAAACCACCAACCAGATATTATATCATAGTGTTTATCCCAAAGATTCCCACAGTATCAAGAATTCCATCACAAAAATTCTGGGAATCCAGTACCGTCCGGTTTTCACCCTCCAAACCAGAGGTTTTTCCAGTACTGGGCGCACTGGGTGTGCTCGTCCACTTGCTCCAAGAAGCCATTGTAGTTCAAAATGAGTTCATGAATCCTACGGCCCAGGTCGGCCCAAGTGGCTCTGACTGAGACCAGGATACCCCAGAAATCCCAGAATTGGAAACTCTGGATTTTGACGGTCAAATATGGTCAAATGGTATCAAAACCATAGTTTCATGTAGTATGGTTCCTTGAACCAATCGAATCCATTTGCACAACCATTGGTGTAATCCACATGGAAAACAATGGAATTGTTCGGTACTTGGGTTTCCGGTCATGTTTATTCCTGCAAAAATAAATGAAAAACCTTTCACAACACCAAACATTCATTTTGACAAAGACTTATCAAGATATGCGTTCCTGATGCAACTGGATTACTATTGCTGCTCTAGCAAGCAGTCGGACAGCACCCCAGGTATAGGCTGTTGAATTCCATCAGAATGGACTACAGTATCAGTAGCATGCTGCACCACAGGCTGACGATTGATGACTTTCCGACCACGCCTTTGGTTCCCAATACTACTGCTATCTCGAACAAACGTTGCTTTCCTGTTTAGATTGCAAGCAGTATCAAACTTGGGAATGGCTGTGAAAACACACCCATGCATCTGCAAATGGAAAAAGGATAAAAAAGGTAGATTCATGACACTAACATATTCCCAGCTAGTCAGCTAGTCAAACCATTTCAAACCGAAATCAGCATGGACTCGCTCATCAACAACTACCGGAGCTGGGCGGAGCTGGGTTCAACGTCTTCTCTGCAACCCCCCCTCCAACTGTCAACTCGCAGGTCTGTCCCCGTGATCATTGCCAAAGGATCTTGCCTGGGCGAAGCAGGGCCAACGCTCCACCAGAGATGCCAATCTTAGATACCCTGCGGAAGTTTTCGAGCTGCTCAGTCAACATCCCCGTAGAAACAGATTAAAGATGATTAAAGTACTAAAGTAGCCCTTCAATAAGAATTGACCTTGGAAAAAATATGCAAAAATTATAATTAAAGTAGATCATGACCCTCGCCAATACTCCGTAGTGTGGCTATGTTTTTTGTCGATACCATGAGCTGCTCAAGCTATGTGAACTATGCCTCTGACTATCATTTGCTTGGGAAACGCGAAGTAGCTCCAACTGACTCCCCATTAAATCGGGATGTGGTGATATGGACACCCCATAGCTCCGAACTGCTCCGTTCGCCATCGCGATCTAATCTGTCGAGCTGCATGATCCGAATTTCGATGAGTCTTTTGGCAAATCTCTGCCGGGTTTTCCAATGCTACAGGCAGAATGTCCTCTCCGCGGATTCAAACTTTGAAAGACTTGCAGACAGCCCGGACGGATGGCGTGGATGTGCAAAGGTAATTGGCTAGTGAGGAAATTGTTTGCAAAGGTGAACAGACTGCGTGCCCTCCAGTTCATGGACCAACGGACTACACCTATTCGGGGAGATAAATGTTCTGAATGCATGAAAATGCAATCCACCTAACACCCCAGGTCACGTATAAAACAACATGAACAGTTCAGCGGTTTCGTCGTGCTGTGTACCTAACCATTCCCAATTCGTTCTTCACCTTGGATGCTTCAATCAGTTCTACCTAAGACAGAGGGGTGAACTATTCCGAAGTGGTTTCCGAGAAAACACATGCCAGCTGTATTCCTCATATTGTGGCTGAGATATCCCATCATATTATTCATATGCCACTATTTCCCATGGTTGATTTTGGGCACCCCAACTTGGGGATGCATCCCACTTAATGCTTCAAAACCCCCAGATATCTATATATATACATACAATCATACACATGTATACGATTCGTGGGACGCACATGGCGGCTCTCCTGTAGGTTCTTAAGGAGCGACTCCTGGATTGAAGCCGGTCTCTCGGATTTTGGGATTGAAACCTCCATATGTTTTCGAGGATTGGATCTTCCATCCACGTTGAATTACCAAAGGGTATATGACATATGTGCCTACTATATATATATATAGAGAGAGAGAGACATATAATATACACATATAATCTAGACAAAAACAAGGTTTGGTGGAACGAAATGTCATTGATTGACATAGTGATCCTTATCATCGAGATAGGTGTGGGAATGTGTTGTAATCAAAACAACCAGATTTTACAACCATGGGTTGAGCTGAAAAACAAGATGGAAGCCACGAACCCGAATGTATTCACGTTCTTGGACTACGAGTGCAAACCTCTGCAATAAGAAAACGAACCGTTGTTTGCATGCATCGTGCGGTTCACAAAGAGACAACTAACCAGCACAACAACATCACCACAAGCACAACGAAATCACAACCAGCACAACAATATCACCAGCGCAATGAAATCAAAACAAAATCACCAACACAACAGCATCACCAGCACAGCAACATCACCAGCACCACGAGATCACCACCACCTGCCACACTCCACACTTTACCCACTGCAAACTCCACACTCCACACTTTACACTCCACACTCCGCACACTACACTTTACACTCCACACTCCACACTCTACACTTTACACTCTACACTTAACACTCTACACTTGACACTCTACACTTCACACTCGACACTTTCCGCTCCGCACTCCACACTCTACACTTTATACTACAGGCTCCACACTTTTCACTTTACACTCCTCACTCCTCACTCCACGCTCTACGCTCTACACTCCACACTCCACCACACTCAACACTCTACACCCACCACACTCCTCACTCCACATTCCACACGCCACACTTTACACTCCACACTCGCCACTTTCCACTCCACACTCCACATTCTACAGTTTACACTCCACACTTTACACACTATCACTCCTCACTCCACACTCAACACTTTACACTCCACACTCCTCACTCCACACACTACACTCCACACTCCACACTCCACACGCCACACTCCACCACATTCTACACTCTACACACACCACACTCCTCACTCCATACTCCACACTTTACACTCCACACGCCATACTTTACACTCCACACTCCACACTTTATACTTTGCACTCCACACTCTACACTATACTATACACTCCACACTCCACACTCTACACTTTACACTCTTACTTTTTACAATCTACACTACACATTCCACACTCTACACGCTCTACACTCCCCACTCCACACTATACAAAGCACTTCCCAGTACTACTTTGTACTGCAAAGCTTGCACAGACTACTTCCCAGTACTTTGTACTACACAGCTTGCACAAAGCACTTCCCAGTACTTTGTACTACACAGCTTGCACAAAGCACTTCCCAGTACTACTGTGTACTACACAGCTTGCACAAACTACTTCCCAGTACCACTTTGTACTACAAAGCTTGCACAAAGTCGTTCGCAGTACTACTTTGTACTACAAAGCTTGCACAAAGTCGTTCCCAGTACTACTGTGTACTACAAAGCTTGCACAAAGCACTTCCCAGTACTACTGTGTACTACAAAGCTTGCACAAAGCACTTCCCAGTACTACTGTGTACTACAAAGCTTGCACAAACTACTTCCCAGTACTACTTTGTACTACACAGCTTGCACAAAGCACTTCCCAGTACTACTTTGTACTACAAAGCTTGCACAAAGCACTTCCCAGTACTACTGTGTACTACAAAGCTTGCACAAAGCACTTCCCAGTACTACTTTGTACTACAAAGCTTGCACAAAGTCGTTCCAGTACTACTGTGTACTACAAAGCTCGCACAAACTACTTCCCAGTACTACTGTGTACTACAAAGCTCGCACAAAGCACTTCCCAGTACTACTTTGTACTACAAAGCTTGCACAAAGCACTTCCCAGTACTACTGTGTACTACACATGCACAAACACGTTCCAGTACTACTGTGTACTACAAAGCTCGCACAAACACGTTCCCAGTACTACTGTGTACTACAAAGCTTGCACAAAGTACTTCCCAGTACTACTGTGTACTACAAAGCTCGCACAAACTACTTCCCAGTACTATTGTGTACTACAAAGCTTGCACGAAGCACTTCCCAGTACTACTGTGTACTAGAAAGCTCGCACAAACACGTTCCCAGTACTACTGTGCATTACAAAGCTCGCACAAACTACTTCCCAGTACTACTGTGTACTACAAAGCTTGCAGAAAGCACTTCCCAGTACTACTGTGTACTACAAAGCTCGCACAAACACGTTCCCAGTACAACTTTTTACTACAAAGCTTGCACAAAGTCGTTCCCAGTACTACTGTGTACTACAAAGCTTGCACAAAGCACTTCCCAGTACTACTGTGTACTACGAAGCTTGCACAAAGCACTTCCCAGTACTACTTTGTACTACAAAGCTTGCACAAAGTACTTCCCAGTACTACTGTGTACTACAAAGCTTGCACAAACTACTTTCCAGTACTACTTTGTACTACAAAGCTTGCACAAAGCACTTCCCAGTACTACTGTGTACTACAAAGCTTGCACAAAGCACTTCCCAGTACTACTTTGTACTACAAGGCTGGCAAAGTCGCTCCCAGTACTACTGTGTACTACAAAGCTTGCAACAACTACTTCCCAGTACTACTTTGTACTACAAAGCTTGCACAAAGTCGTTCGCAGTACTACTTTGTACCACAAAGCTTGCACAAAGTCGTTCCCAGTACTACTGTGTATTACAAAGCTTGCACAAAGCACTTCCCAGTACTACTGTGTACTACAAAGCTCGCACAAAGCACTTCCCAGTACTACTTTGTACCACAAAGCTTGCACAAAGTCGTTCCCAGTACTACTCTGTATTACACAGCTTGCACAAAGCACTTCACAGTACTACTGTGTACTACAAAGCTTGCACAAAGCACTTCCCAGTACTACTTTGTACTAAAAAGCTTGCACAAAGCAATTCCCAGTACTACTTTGTACTACAAGGCTTGCAAAGTCGTTCCCAGTACTACTGTGTACTACAAAACTTGCACAAAGTCGTTCCAGTACTACTGTGTACTACAAAGCTTGCACAAAGCACTTCCCAGTACCACTTTGTACTACAAAGCTTGCACGAAACCGTTCCCAGTACTACTGTGTACTACAAAGCTTGCACAAAGCAATTCCCAGTACTACTTTGTACTACAAGGCTTGCAAAGTCGTTCCCAGTACTACTGTGTACTACAAAGCTTGCACAAAGTCGTTCCAGTACTACTGTGTACTACAAAGCTCGCACAAACTACTTCCCAGTACTACTGTGTACTACAAAACTTGCACAAACACGTTCCAGTACTACTGTGTACCACAAAGCTTGCACAAAGTCGTTCCCAGTACTACTCTGTATTACACAGCTTGCACAAAGCACTTCCCGGTACTACTGTGTACTACAAAGCTTGCACACAGCACTTCCCAGTACTACTGTGTACTACAAAGCTTGCACAAACACGTTCCAGTACTACTGTGGACTACAAAGCTCGCACAAACACGTTCCCAGTACTACTGTGTACTACAAAGCTCGCACAAAGCACTTCCAAGTACTACTTTGTACTACAAAGCTTGCACAAAGCACTTCCCAGTACTACTTTGTACTACAAAGCTCGCACAAACACGTTCCCAATACTACTGTGTACTACAAAGCTCGCACAGAGCACTTCCCAGTACTACTTTGTACTACAAAGCTTGCACAAAGCACATCCCAGTACTACTGCGACGTCCACGTAGCAAAAGACACGAGGTTTTGCAGCTTCCCCTATAGACACTGCGACGTCCACGTAGCAAAAGACACGAGGTTTTGCAGCTTCCCCTATAGACACTGCGACATCTACGTCGCAAAAAACACGAGGTTTTGCAGCTTCCCCTATAGACACTGCGACATCTACGTAGCAAAAAACACGAGGTTTTGCAGCTTCCCCTATAGACACCGCAACATCTACGTCGCAAAAGACACGAGGTTTTGCAGCTTCCCATTTAGACACTGCGACA